TCGTTAATTTGGACTAAAAATTGAATAATAACTCATGTAGTTTATGTATCGTATTTTATTCGCTGATGTAAACTTAATTTAGAATATATATAAATAAACGGGTTTTTATGTTTAAAACTTCTGGAGTGCAGTTTCTTCCGTTTGTCTCTCAGTTCTCCATTCCGGGTCCAACCCTCATACCTATCCGCTCGCGCGAACTTGTGGTCTCTGTATCGACCGAAAGATACAGTGGTGTCATCCTGACGAGGTATCGAAGAGATACCGACCCTATGGTCACAAAAGCCTTAACCCTAGATGATATTTTTAATTTATATGAATATTTAATGGAAGATAACTACTTCCAACAATTTAACACCTCGTTGAATAATAACGATCCACAAAAAAACCTTTTTTTACGAGGGTTATTTTCACTATTAAGTTCCACAAGTACTTTCAACCTCCACCGATGTCTGCATCAGGTGGTGACTGTCGACCCGACCGTTGTAACCGTTGTAAAAAGGTTTTTTCGTGGATCGTTATTTAATGGAATAATATACAGCCTATGTCCACCCTGAAGTTCTATTGTAAATATTGGTGAAAAAATTTTTGAAATCGGATGAGTAGTTTCAGAGGTTACCCCCTACATACAAACTTACAAACATTACCTCTTTATAATATCTATATATATAACCCATTGAACGGGTATCCGTCCGCGTAACGGTATGCCAAAAACGGGCACTAGAGGCGCCCTAGCGATGATTTTAAATTAACAATAAATTATTTTTATTTGTAATAGGAATTTATTATTGATATGAATTTATTATTTATATCACGGAATGGTATAAATAATTATTATATGCCTTGATTAACCTTGAGCTGCACGTTTACAACATCCTGTGATTCAGTGAACGTCGCGCATTGACTCACGGGAAATTTGCCTCACTCAAAATCAACTCTCAATAAATATCATTGACGATATAAATTATTAGTAACAAATTTATACTGATATTATAAGATGTTTATTGTGAATTAATTAAAACCATAAATTTTATGTTAATTTGTAATAAGAATTAGTTTCAACTATTTTTTTCAAATAATGGATTTTTGTCCCACTTTCAAAATCAATGGCTCAATTAACACATATTTCCACGCATTGGCAAGAGATTCAACACCTTTGCATTTAAGCATTTGGCTGTTAACTTCTGTTTAACTATCTCCATTCTTTCCACTGTGTACCTAGTGGATACACAGTGAAAGTTGGAGCTAAGTGATGTTCTTGATAATCTTTGCAGTTCTATATCCAGAGCAGTCAAATATCCTGTAGATGGTCTGTCAAACAGACTGAAAACATCTTGATTTTGAATAAAACATCATTATATATGGTGTGATT